CCTGAGTTGGGATACAGCCAAAGACATGCTGTGGAAGATTGGTTGGTTGTCCAGTTTGTGCCTGTATAAAATGATATAAATGCAGAGAAACATGTCTGAGGTAATTTTGCAGTAGTGTCATCAGAAAGAACTCAGTCACCTGCAGCGTGTGTTGCAGAGACTGAATTAAAGTTGCGATTAACATTTTGTGCAGTCTGTATGTGAAGGATGGGCATAACTTCCAATTTGACATAAACACCTTAAACCTCCATTTTTTATTTTTTTTTAACATTTTTTTTAATTTATTTATCTTTTGTAATAGCCGGTTTAGGACAACTCCCAGATACAGAAAGATATCTGGGAGTTGTTGTGTAGACATCTATGGATAAATTAACTGAGCTCTCACTTGATTTATGACCTCAGCAATCAGGCTGATGAGCATTAATTCCACCTGTTTTTGAAGAAACATAGATTCAGAACTGGGGAAAAACCAGCTTATTCTCAGTAGCTAATAGCTTGAAATTTACGTCTTTAGCCAATAAGCGCGCAACGTCCCTCAGGTTCACAGTTTGATAGGTCTGTTGGGCGGATCTCTGTTTATCTAGCTTTCAGCATAAAGAAATATCTATTAGGTGAAGCAACCTTGTGTTTTCTGTCATCTACCTGCCTGATATTTCGCCTGTATGATGTCCCCAGTTTAAATTGTGAGTGATCTCTGTGGACGAGGTAGCAGTCCTTACACAGAAACATTAAAGAAGCAGAAAGACTCAAGCGAGGATTGTATGGTTTGAAGCTCTTGCAGGTGTTCACAGAGCCATACAAAAAACAGAGGGATGGATTCCTGAAGGACCAGCATGCTGCTGCCACCTTTGGTTGTTGCCACGGTGACAATTTATGTCGTCAGTGACTGATGGATGCAGCGACCCTGGCCTCGCCTGTGTGTCCAAGAGGAGATAGAGAGAATGCAATGAGGTGTGGGCGTGCACAGCGTTAGAGAGAGGAAAGGATGAATGAGTAGGAAAGAGCTGGAAGAGGACATGACAGTGCATATGATAAATGTGTGTGTGGGGGAGGGAGTGAGGAAGAGGGGGAGAAAGGAAGGAAATATGCAGGTGTTGAATATGGATGAAAGGAAACAAAGAAAACAAACATGTGACACAGAAACTGTGTGAGAGATTGGGTGAGGATGCACGCACATGTGATCCTCCCCTCCTCACACACATCCTTCTCTGTGTGAAGCCCCTCTGCAGCCACCGGTGCTCCGGCAGCAGGGTTGCCATGGTAATGTAATCCAGGCAATGACGCTCGGCATCTCTCTCACAATCAGAGGAAGGCTGAACACACCCAGCTCAGCTGCACCGTGAGAAGAGCAGTGGGAGCAAAAAAAGGAGGGGGGGGGCAACGCCCACAAAGTGCAGCCGAGAGGTGGAGGCGTGCCGGCTCTCCACAGGATCACAGGGTGGAAACGTTCACGGTCTTTATGTACGGCTCCTGTGCCGTGCATTCGTTTAGTGAGTTATTGGACGTTCTGGCTCATTCGGACCACTTCCTGTGCAGAAGTAAGCGACACCGTCTTAAAGCCTTGTGTTGCCTTCCTAATGATGGAGGTCAGATAGAAGCAGTCTGTAAAAACACAAGACACATGAACCATTGAGCCAAATGTACCAAATCTATAAAATGAAATTCAAAAAATGAGAATAGAGTTTACATTATTGGTAGTTTTGCTGTATTTTGGACTGCAGTGCTCCCCTGTGGAGATCCTTCGGGTTAGTGCAATCAAAAATAGTGAAAGAACCAAATACGTTTTGTATGGGTTCAGGTCGCCCGGCACTTTAATGAAGTCTGGGATAAAAGCTTAGTGGCTGAAGGTGTGTGCATACCTTTCTTGTATATTTTACTACATTGTGATACTAATAATGCACCATGCAATGATAAAGCATCACAACATAATATATCAGTAGGATTTTGAAATTTGGTGACAGTATTCTGTCTAGACAACCAAACCCTGTGAGGGAAGACGGCTCAGATCTGTCGCTGCAGTTTAAAAAGAAAGAAGCTCCACCCGTCCTGAAGGCATCAGGAGACTCCTCCTGACATTAGAAGCGTAGCCTGGTTTGTCTCGCTGTGGTTGGCTGCAGTGGCTCGGTGTTTCCCTCCATGCGGCCTACTTTCTGAACACGCATCCGTCGCAGCGACTGGCTGCTCAGTCCTGCTACACCCAGGCAGCAGACCTACTGTATTTGCATGCCTGGGGGCGCTTGTTTGGCCTCCTCCTAGATGGGTGGGTGGTTGGAGGGAGATATGGATCGGTCGTATTGATCTGTCTCCTTGTTGTCTGTTTGTTAACCGCTGTGTCTGATTCTCAGGATTTATGTGTTTGGAGCCTGAAGAGGCGTGCGTGGGTTTTGAGTTTGGTTGGTTATCTATATATTTATATTTAACAGATAACCCAGACTGTGGGACCTTTGGATGAAGAACAACTGTATGATAATGAGTATGTCTGCAATAGAGATCTCATTAATCTCATCCCCATCATTTCTATTGACACACTGACCTGATACGTTGGGTTTATAGCACTGCTGTCTCTGGCTTTAAGTGCTGATTGGTCTTAATTGAATGCGTTTCTTTTGTCAAAGCTTCATTTTTTAAAAATTAAAGCTGCAAAATGTAAGACAAAAAATCTTCCCCACATTTTTTGCTTTCACTGATATAAAACTGTGGATTATCTGATATTTTCCTCATAATTTTCTTTCTTTTTCCTTCAGGGCAGTTACCCCGTCTGGGATGACTTCATCAGCAAGGCCAACAAACTACAGTCACAGCTAAGGTAAAAATGCTTATTACATGTCGTAACATGTTTATTTACAAAAGACCAAATAAAGGGTTTAAAAATGACTTACTTGAGGGGAAAAGAAGAGCGAGAGGTTGAGCCACTGGCATAGGCCCGGCCCACATCTTCAGACGCCCCGAGTCTGTCATCAGAGACGGCACCTAGAACTCAGAGACGCAGATCACACAGGAGCCGAGCAATGACAGGAGACGGGGTGACACACAGCAGGAGATTGAAGGGTTTTCTCCAGCCTGGCTCCTGTAACGACAGCATCAAAGAACTGAAAATAACAAGCAAGCGAACAAGTGAAGAAAACACAAATATACAAAAAACGCACCAGAGACAAAAAGTAAAAAATAAAGCAAGAAATCCTGCAAAACATGCAAGTCTCAATTCATGCAATCATGCAATAAAGTGCAGAGTACTGATGAACGTGTCACTATCTTATCTGTTCGACGCGTTTGATCAGCTTCCTGAAAACAGCGATTGTGTTCAGTGCAGAAGTTGCTCTTGTTGTGTTGCTCTGAGAGCATTTACACGAACTTTCTCAGAATCGGTCCAGTAGCACCAAACTGTGGCTTCTCATTGGTTTATGAAGAAGGTTATTTAGTTTCAGAAATGCAAAACTTTTGGGTCTCTGTATCCTCATTGAGCTGTTTTATATTGATTATTTATACATAGAGAATCATATTCAATGCTGTTTTAACCTTAAGATAAAAGGAAGCGTACCCGCATCCTGAGAGTGTGCATAACCTGAGCTCATGAAAATCCAATCAGTCTGCTTCATTAGGTGTCTAAATGTCAGGCTCACCTCTCCTGTCACCTCATCCCTGACGTCCTGACACACACACACACACACACACACACACACACACGCACGGCTGAAGGTTGCCACCATCAATAGAAACATGTACACACACAGACCACAAAAACCACACACTTGAGCCTTGACAAAGTCTCCACACGTACATGTTTACTCACTTACACTTTTCAGCCATTAACCAACCAGCAATGACTGCCTTCACATACACTGTGTACA